TTAAGCTCCCAAAATGAGTCAAAATAACTCTATATAATAGAGTTATCATGAATCAATAAAGTAAGATCCTTTTCGTTAATTTCTGCACATGTTTTCTTCATTCTTCCCCTCCCCTTCACTTGACCATCTTTCATGGAGTCACATCTGCGTACCAACGTGTTAATGGGCCTACAACGCACTTTTCTAAACCACCTCTAGATTTTAAGATTCAGCTAAATTCCTCTGGTACCATCATTAGCAGTTGAGTCAACAGTTATCTGGAAACATGATGTAACTTTTGACTAGAATGTGTAACTTTCTTGTGGTTCATGCAAATTCACAGTTATTTTTCTCGCCCTCAATGTTTTTTGGCTCAAAACCAAAACTAACTTTTCTATTTCTTTATAGGCCTTGGAGGGTTCCATTATTTTTTGATTAGAGCATTTTCAGTCATGCTGTGACCAATAACGCCTTCATTAAATTACCTCTGTTTCCTACTTTCATGCAGATCTAAGTCCAAGTTCTACAAAATCAGTTCCAGTTGAGGACATCAAGCAATCTTCATCAGGTAGCATACCTTTCTCTTGAGGGTCTTTAACTTTTGTGCATGTTTGGTGTTTTAGCCTTCCTATTTTCCTTGATGCTCTTTTCTCTGATTTTACATTTTTCTCACTCTTATCTTAGACCTGACGAAGTAATAATAAGTTCAATGCATTTACTCCAGTGACTTCTTTAGTCATATTTGGGAAATTGTATTAAACTTATGCTGCTTATATGCTTAATTTGTTTCTTGCTACATGGGAATTTTTTTAAATGTCAAGTCTCTGAATATCGATTCCCAGAGCAACTTTGATCTGGTATTTGTTGTTGCATCACAAATTACTGCTCATGCTGATCCTATCCTATCTGAAACTGGTGTAGGATTATAGATAGGATATGATACGATTGACGAGTAGATTGTCTTTGTTTCTATCTTATTGTTGGTGCATGGATAACAAAAATACTCAGCTTATTTTTTACATAGTCTATCCATGTAGGATATCCAATCTGCTCCATGTCTAGAGTATTATGTAATCTATCCATGTAGAATAACTAATCTGACAAACTTTTCTATCCTTCTATGAAAAGACTAAAGATAATGAAAAATATTGCATTAAACAAGAAATACCCTATTTAATCCTGTGCTATGCACCAAATGAGCTCTATATATCCCTCATTTAACAAATAATTTGTGACATGTTCAAATGAGAAATGCTACTGCTTATGGCATATTCCTCGATACAGGAAGTAGAAGAGACATACAAACTGCTCAGCCTCTGGACAAATCTTACCTGAAACTGTTACCTGATTTGGTATCTGTTGTTTTCTTACCTCCAATCTCATCGTTTTGAGTAATTTGTGTTTAATCCTTTTCTTTCATGTGAGTTGATTCTTAATAATGGTGTTTGCAGTCTACATCAATGGACCAAACTCACTCCAAAGACAAATTGTCTTCTCATTTTGAAGTTAAAAGCAGCAACAACTCAAGCCAGCTGGGACGCATTCTTCCTGCCAATCTCTCATGTTTCACTCCTTGTATGTATATGAAAAAGTTGAAGCGATCAAGTGATCTAATGGTCAATGAGAAAAAGTTGTCAATTACTGGGACGGGAAAAATGCAATACCAGAATCATGATGCGATTGATTCAACTGGTGATCTTTTATTGGATAGGCAACAAAGAGGAGAGCAACAGTTAGAGCCTTGTTCTAGCAAGAAACGCAGAGTACTACCCATAGAGCTTGACACGTTGCAGCATGATAAAAGTTCCAATAATTATGCATCAGATGCCCAAAGATCAGGGCCAAGTGACCTTCCTTTCATGGTCAGTTCAGTGAAACATGAGAAACTACAGATTTCTGGTGCTAGAAGTGCGCTGAATGCTAAAGTTCATTTGCTGCATAAGGATGATGGAGCTGCAGGTGTCAACTTGAGTGCTGAACCATGTGGTGCCGAGGAAACTAAAGGTTCTGCCTTTCTGATGCAGGTGAAATATGTTATTCTTTTCTTTAAAAAATTTCATTAAATGTTTTTTGCAATTGATAGATTTAGTTGTGTTGATATTTGCTTTAATTCTATATATCAACTGTACTAAAAGGAACTGATTGCAGACCCTTTTTTTAGCACAAATAGTAGCCAACAATGCTAACTGAAAACATGTTCAGTTGTGCATGATTGCTAGTTGTCATGAAATTTGCAACAGTCTTCTAGCCAAGAATGGTCCACGATTTCATCTCTAATAAGTTTTACCAATTTAAATTTAAATTTTAGAATATCTAATAAACTATTATCTCATTTCTTCCCTTTGATCAATCAAATGCTATATGAAAAGTGCTGATTGACATGTTGAATATGGTTATTGGTTTTTGTAAAAGTATACTTGTTCAATTTCCTTGGCTTCTTCCAGAATCTTATTTTACAATATTATAAGGTATGAATTGGAGAACCTGAAGTAAAAATGTTCAAAGTGTCGGAGGCCTGGAGAATGATGCAATAGGATATTACCTTGCTAGAAAAATCTGTGTGATGGACTTGAGTATTGACTTGGGACGGTGTAATGGAAACTGATGGGACAAATTCACTACTATAAATAAAATTGTGAGACAAGAATAGAAGAGAAGTTTTACTAAAAAAAATTTCGGGCAAATTCAAAATGTTTGGAAAGAATTTGATAAGTATGTGTGCAAACTCGAAGAAATGGCTTAGGATGCTGAAGTGGAAATGATAAAATTATTGTGAATGTTTATCTGTCATTCAAGTGAAATTGAAAAGCAAAGTCTTTTTTGTTGCCTAGACCGGTTCCATTGATTAACTTCATTCATGCCCTCCACTCTGATCTTTAAATATTGCTGATCCTCTATTTGCTTCAGGTATAAGGTGATATCTGATGAGGTTTAGTGGTGCTCTTTCTTGGAGTGAAGGAAACTGTGTCATTAGATTATTATGTTCAGTTTCTCCGAAATTTTCACATAGGAGAAAGCTGGCACTTTAAGGGGCTTAAGTGACTGGTTTATATTTTAAATTTATTAGATGTGGGAGATGGGTAGGAGTGAAATATTATATCTAAACATGTCAGAAATTTTTTTTTTTTTAATGTTAGGAGAGTTTTAAAAACTTATCTTTGGAGCCTCTGGAGAAATTAAATTGAAAAGAATACCCATGATATCACATGGTTTTGCAATAAAGATTTTTCCTAATTTTATGGTAGGAACTGGCTTAGCATGAAATTTGTTAATTGTATTTTGCTGTTTTCCTCTTGAAATTCACTATACCTATCAAACATCTGCTCATTTTTTTCAATTTCCTGATAACGTTTATCTAGCTGCTTTGGATTAGGGATGTTACTGAAAATTCCCTTCTCTTACAGGTTAAAGAGAAACTTAGTCCTACAGAATATAAAGAATTTGTGGGGTTTATGAAGGCAATGAAGTCCAAAGTGATGAAGATTGGTAATGTTTTGCAATCCATTGTGGGATTATTTTCAGGACCAGAGAGGCTTCCTCTTCTTGAAAGGTATCAATCCACTCTAACGTGGCTGTCACTCTAATAATAATTCAAATTTGAAGGTTGTGTTTTGTTCGGGATGGTTTCTGTTTTTTATGTTTCTCTTATGATCTTCCATTATGTGAGCAACCTGAATTCCATTGTCGGTTAGGCATCTTGAAACTAATATAGTATACTTTTGCTTCACCTTTAGCATAGCTTGGCCAGAGTTTTTTGGAACTCGTTGACCAGTTACTGTCAGGATGCTTCACACCAGATTTTGAGCTTTTAGGATATCATTGAAAGTGAGGCAAAAATTAATTTCCTATCCTTGGTATAGTAATGATTTATTAAAAATGCCAAATGATGTTCACAACCAATGTACATGGACATATGCTTGAAAAGCATCAGAGGGATATGGGGGAAATGCTTAAAGGACAAAGGGGAAAAAAAAGAGAGGAGAAAACAATAAAATCATAGCTGTTAATAAACTCAGGAGGAATAACTGAAATCATGTCTAGTATAAACCATGCACCATCAGGAAAGTAACAAGAAAAGTCAAGCCTTAAGCATAGCCCGTTAGCCATAAAATATTCCATTACATTGGTTACCGCTATTCTTCCACTGCTCCCTCCCAAGGTAAAGAAGTTCTACCATTCTCCATATTTGCTAAGACCTTCCTTTATCTCACCCTTCTCCAAAAATCCCCGAAATGTTGTAAGCATGCTCTAACATTATGTGAAACAATCTAATATGTTAAGAGGCAGCAACTGTCCTTAGAGATACTTATAACTTATGAGGGATACCTGTTGGCAACACTCATCCAAGAAACCAATTGCATCAACAATTTGCTATTTGACTGTACCTGGACTATTGGTGTTATGCCTTTAGACAGGGAGGGACAGAATTGAGCCGACCACTGAGGTGTTATTTTATTAGAGTACCTGATATTCTTTAGCCTATCATGCATTTCCCAAAAAATTTTTCTTTTCTTTCTTTTTAGCATGAAATTATCATCTGTTATTTGTACCAGATCTTAAACTGTTGTCATCTGTAACAGATTCAAGGATTACGTGCCTGCAAAGTATCAATCTTTATATGAGCAACACATTGAAACAAGTAAAGATATGCCTGACAATCAAAGGAACTAAACTTATCTTGTCTTAAAAGTTGTTAGGGAGGGATGCCATTCCTCAATTTTTGTGATCGGTCTGGATGGAAATGAGTCTTTCTAGAGCAATGATCTCCTGGAGTGTCAGAAAGAGAAGAATTGAGATAAAACATTGTGGAGGGTTTGCGTGAAGTATATCGCAACTTTTGACAAATATCAGAAACTGTTTGCCTGCGTAACCAAGTAGCTAATTGTTCTTTCATATCTGGAAGAAAGTAACTTTCTCAACATGAGGGCAATGTTGCATTTGCAAGCTGTTATACCTGTATTATTTTACTGAGATTGTGAAGGATTACTGGATTAGACTTGGTCACAGCTTACCTCTTGTGGAAAACAAAATCAAGCAAACAGAAATAGAGTGAAACTGGGAATTTTGTTGGAGAGATGAGATATAAAGGCAGCCTAAGTTTTTGCTTCCTGATTTATATGGCCTTGACAGTGCATCAGCAAGAGCCTACAAGATGGTCGATTAGTTATTGGAAGTGACTCTAGTTACTGTACCTATGGTGCCCCTGAGATTGACATTCATGTGTAGATATTAAAATAGAACTGATTTACAAGGTATGAGGTTCCATTTGATGGAAAGCATATGAGGTGCCTATTAATTACTTCTTACTATATATTGTTCCTAAAATTTTCAATTTAAGTCCAGTGGCATCTGACTCTTAACCTGCCTAAATTATTTATATTTGAGTATCATTGGTTTCTCTTTTTTATTTTTTTTTATTTTTTTAACTATAATGTTCAAAAATAAGTCTTTAAAAAATCGAAATAAGTTTTTATTTTTTTATTATGTTCAATCAAAATTTTATATTTTTATTTAGATCAAATAAGTTTTATGATTAATGATTGGCTGTCATTAATCAAAATGTTTTTATCATTAATATCTACGTGTTACTGATATGGTGTTGATGTAGAAGATAAAAAAGTTATATAATCATGTTATAATATAAACTTAATATATCATATTTTTAATTATTATATGTTAATATATCATATCATCATCAATTATTACATGTTAATATGTCATGTTGAAGTTATGCGACATAAAGTGATAAATAATATTTTGATTAAATTAATTATTAGTTATAAAATTTTATTTGATTCAAAATAAAAATATAAAGATTTATATAATTTAAAATAAAAATGTAAAGATTTGAGCAAACATAATAAAAATATGAGGGTTTATTTAAATTTTTTAAAATAATTTAATTTTTTAAAAATATTATATTTATATATATTTATTTTAAATTTCAATATAAATAAACACTTGAGCTTATTACTAAAGTGATGTGTTTATTATATAGTACTAAAGGTAATTCCAAAGTTGGAATTGCCATCCTCACATACATTAACTTCCACGCTTTGAAGTATGAGAGTCATTAACCAACTCCCTAAACAATTACTAATGTACAGGTCACTGCCAAATAGAAATGGAAGATGCCCATCCTTTGTATTGTATTGCTGAGAAATTTTTGATATAGTATTTTAAAAAATGTTATGAATTATTTCAAAATTTAAATAAATAATTTTATTCTTTTATTAAGTTTAATTAAATTTTTATATTTTTATTTTAAATTAAATAAGTTTTTATAAGACATAATACTTAAATAAGTTTAATTTTCTAACTATTTCAAAAAAAATTAATTAAGTCTTCATACTTTTATTGAGCTCAATTAAATTTTTAAATTTTTATTTTAAGTTAAATAAATCTTTTGTATTAATCGTTGACTAGTGGCAGTTAGTCAACCGTACAACTATTAGTTTAATTCCATGTAGTATATGTGTTGACATGTGATTTTGATGATGACATTAACCCATGACAAATGATGTGGTATAAAATATTGTTAAGTAAAAATTGATTTTTTGTTTTTGCTCGAGCACATATTTAAAAATCACTTAGTTAAAATTTAAAATAAAAAAAAAATTAAATAAACATAAACAAACTATTGAATTCTTAATTTATACAATTTAATTATTTAAGTCCAAAGGTAAGGGTGGGTACCTTAGATGTTTCCATCCTTGGTTGTCTAATGGTAAAACTCAGTCTTTCTCGTGATTGGATAAGTAAAATAATGGTGAAGAATATTATAAATTGGATTATTGCTCTCAAGAGGTAGGAAATTCAAACCCGGTGCAATTAATCACCAGGGAACAAGCAATGGACAACGTCAACACAAATATCCACCAAACCTTACCAAAAACCACAAACATCCAAATAACCTAAATTATAAACAAAGAGCCCTATTCTTAAAAGCCACTCTTCACTCTTCTCTCTATATAACATATTTGCATCAATAACATAGACCAAATAAAATCCAATTTCTAGCAATAAATCACCTCCATCATCACGCACCCTCCCTTGGTTTTCCCGTCTAAGGAAAGGAACAAAACCGATTGCCAAATCCTTACGTTACATTGTTATACCTTGTTCTCCTAGATCTCCTATCTCTTACAGCTTTAGAATTCCGAGGCCTTGCCGGAATCTTCCTCTCGTTTTGACGCAAAGTCACGATCAGGTCAACGAAAGCACTTAAGATGAACTTGTAAGATTTCTTGTCGTTTAAGTTCAAGTAACAAAACAAAAGCTCTTCCATGAAATCCCAATCGATTGTGGAATGATGTTGCAGCCTTGCTTCCACCATTTCTCGCATTGAACGTCGAAAATCATCGTACGGGTTCGGAGAATACGTTAAAACCGCAATGCACTCGTTAGGAATGCTAGGACACTTGGTATGATCGCCGCCGTAGCTGTTGGAGTCATTGGCAGTAGCGTTGGTTGAAGTTGAGGTCGAGGTTGACCCCACGTCCTCCGATGTTGACATGGTGGTGTTAGTCACGGCACTGCTCCGAGCCTCCTCGATAAGCGAACTCGACAGCCCCGTAGCCACGAAGAACCTGTTGGACCCGCAAAGGTCTGGCGGAGGATCAACAAACCTTGGCGATTCAACCAAAATCCCACCAGGGCTTTTCACTTGATGATGATCTTCACGATCCTCTCCAACACCTCTCCTTTCATTAACCTCTTCGTCGTCGTCTTTGATATATAACGACTTGAAATTCTCAAAGAGAAAACGATCAACATCGGAAAGCGTCGCCGCATCATCGATTTCACAGGTTCCTTGATCATTTCTGTCATGATTGACTGCAAAAGAAAGGGTTTTAGGGTGTTTGCAGCCTTTCAGGATCCATTTTTTGGAAGAAGGGAGTGAGTTCGATGGGAACTGAGTAGTTGGGGAGGGTTTTTTCATCTTGGAGAGGTAATCCTGGAGAGATTTCTGAAGCTTCTTGGACATTTTTCTTTCAACCTCTCTGTTTACTTTGGGGGTAGGCTTATCAAGTCTAAAACCATGGGAGAGAGAGAGAGACAGCTCTTGATCGGTTTATAAATTATTCACAAGGCAGCTAGCTTTACAAACGTTTGAAAATTTACCTTGTTTAACGCATCAAGTTTTCTTGGGAATTTGGTAACAAATAGCCAAATAAGGCTGGATATTAATTAATGGGGGATTTGCTGACTAATGCGGGGGGATTTTGAAAGTAAATGGGAAACACCTTCTCGGATTAATGTAATTTACGCAGATTTTATGGAAAGTAGAAACCAATGACATGGGAAATTGAGGATGTATTCCAGATTTATATTTTGCTTTAATTTGGAAAGAAGCATATTATGGAATTAAATTTTGCATTGATTGAGCAAGTTTTCTTCTGTCTGTTAGGTTATTTTTTAATTTGACCATTAATGTACACATTCAACTTTACAGTTTCACCTTGACTTCTGGTCAGTTTTTGTCCTCCATTTTTTAAAAAAATTAAGATATTTCTTGATTTATTTAGTATTCAGAAAAATATGAATCACATTTTCATCAATTTAACATGAATATTATATAAATTTGACATGTCATCCACAATGTATCAGGTAATGGTCTTAACTGATACGTCTCTATTATAATCATTAACATACAAAAAAAGGCAATATTTTTAAGTAGGTTTCGAACATAAATGACAATGTTATGCACATTTATTGTAGTTATTTTACCAATTAAATGTATGCTCTATTTTTATATAGTCTTACGGATTTTGATTGAACTTCATTATGAGAACTTCGCCATTCAAATTCTTGCTCATTAATTAATTTCGTCAAACAATATTTTAAATACATAAATGTTTAAACATATTTTCCTGATATAATTTTGATAATGTTTTAAATATGTGCTTCAGCTATACAAATTGAAGTTTTAGGGTTAGTGGTTAGATAACTTTATCCTAGTATGGTTCAAGTAACAAAATAAAGAGTGTCCCTAGGCACAATCAATATCCTTTTGGTGGCAAAAATTGAACAAAGTAATGGACTTGCCATTTCCCATTTCCATTTGATGGACAAATAGAGGTTGATTTTATAATCCCTTGAAATTGAGTAACTTCAAGTTCCTTAGCAAACAATCAAGTCCAGTTTAACCAACGTACGAGATTTTGCTGCTGATTCAATTTGCATTTGCCTTTGCCTTTGCCTTTTTCTTTCTTTTCCTCGCCCAGCTTTGTTTGTTAGTTCCATCTTTTGCTTGAGATTTTATCTGCGTCAGTTCTCTGAAGAAGGAGAAGGGGCTGTGCTATGTCACTATATCTGCAGACTGCAGCCCACCAAAGTATTTGCACAAGAGGGATCAGTAACCCTCCAATCTAAAATCTCGATTTTGTTTTGCAGAGTCCCACATGGCTCTACGATGATAGTATAGCAAACCGCCGGAGATATAAATAGGACGCAACCTGCAGCTTTAAGACATACTTACCTGGACGGGGTCGATGGGCGATCAAGGAGTCCCATGGCCTAGGGCAGTGACCTCCATTGCACTGGGGAGGGGTGCTGCTCTAAGGTCTCCCAAGTGGGAGAGCCTACGTCATAATTTGTGGCAGTGGGGGCCTGCGTCCGCGCGGCCCCTATCCAATCATAGTTCAAAGAAGTTGAGTGCAGGTGTTTGTGCAGAAGCAATTGTATTAAGTAATTTCTGTTTCTTGGGTTGTTGATGAATCTAATTTGTACAGCTTGTCCTCAAATGCTTACCAACTTTTGTTTGATTTCCAAATTTCGCAACTGAACTAGAAAACAAATCACGGAAAAGAGGCTGGACAGATAGATAGCTAATATCCAAATTTAATGTTTACCTAGCAATGGATTTAAATCCTCCCTAAAAGATTAAAAGTATATTTTTAATATTTTGAGAATAAATTACTTGAACTAATCATTTTAATCAATTTTATTAGATTCTTTCGGGATATAATTTGATAACTTTAATGGATCCATGTAGCACAGAGCTAGTTATGTGTATAATTGATTGAATAGATTTTCATGTGATAATAATTTGTTGTGAAAATTTTATTGCTTAGCATACTTTAAAGAAGTTGAGTGTTAGTGTTTAAGCAGAAGCATTTGGAAGAATTGATTTTTAATTCTATCATGAGGATACTATACTAAAAGTTTGTTATTTGACTAAGTTCATATCCCATATCAACAGCACAAACAAGCGAGTTGCGAAAGTGCTTTATAAAAGAGAAATAGAGCCACATTGCAACTCATACCTTTCTCGGCCTTTTGGCTAAGATCAAGTGTAGTATCTGTTCTTATCAGTTTAATATCTGATACGTGGATTATTAATTCACATGATATTAAATTAATTTTTT